CCGACTCCCCAGGGAGAGGTGCCGCCGCCAGGGAAGCACCGGTGGGGGCGGCGGCTCCTCTTCTTCCCGGGGGCTCCGGGATGTGCCGTGGGACTCGGACAGTCCCGGGAACACGGCCACCGCAGCGACTCCAGACTGGCCATCCTCTTCCTCCCGCAGAACTTCTTCCTCGCTCAGCAGCCCCTCTGCAAACAGAAAAGGAGACAGTGGGGGCGGGCGATTATACCTGGAGCTCAAAGGTCAAGAAAAGTGTGGGCCACGGAGTAATTAATTCCCTCCCCCGGGGTATTCACAAACTCACTCTCCAAGATCTCTAACCTCCTACCTCGTGCCTCCTGGGGAAGGAAGGCCTCGAGGAGAGTGTGCTCTCCGAAACCCAGGAAAGCTCACTCCTGTGCCCTCAGCTCACCAGCTCTTGGCAGCTGTCTCTGGGCCCAGGCCCCACCCACTGTCCCGTAGGCTCCATCCGAAGGCCACATGGGCAGTCGGCTTGAGGTGGTCAAGTCGGGGCCAGGTGGGACGCTGTGGGAACTCAGAAGAGACCTGCTCACTGTAAGAGCAACCCATGCGTTCCAAGGCCCTACCGCACAAGGCAAGACCACTCTGCCAACCACAGGAAAAAGCCACCTGCACTGATTTAGTTTTTAATGTTTTTATTGATTTCAGAGACAGGATGGGAGAGGGAGAGATAGGAACATCTATGAAGAAGAAATCATCCATCGCCTGCCTCCTGCACGCCCCTACCGGCGATCTGGCTGGCAATCCAGGCATGTGCCCTGACTGGTAATTAAACAGTGACCTCCTGGTTCCTGGGTCCACACTCATCACTGAGCCACACCAGTGGGGCTGGATGGGGATTGTTCATTCTGGAACAGCTTATGGTGGAACAGTATACCGAACACACCCCGACACCAGGGCTTTACTATGTAAGGGGAGAGGAAGGTGTAGGGGGAGAGGGGAGGCGAGCACAGGGCCCTAAGCTGCTGAGCCCAGCCTAGAGGCCGACCCAGCGCACACCTGTCTGTCTCTGGCTGCTGATGCCCAAGCAGAGGGCCCTCCAGACAGCCCCTGGGTATGAAAGAGCGCGTGCGTGTGTGCACTGCTGGGCCTGGGATGCGTTCCATGGGAAAGCCTGTCATCTCACAGCCCTGGCCAAGGGTGTCGCAGCTCATTTCTGTCCCGGAAGCAAGCACAGAGCAGGATAAAGTAAGGGAGGCCCGAGGGCAGAACTGAATGCGGGTCGAGTCTGTTTCCAGGTCAGGAAAAGCAAGGCGATGAGCAGAGGCCTTGGCACTCTGAGAATCAGCCACATGCACCTGGGCACGTCCCTTACCACTGAGCCGAATTATCGACAACCAACACGATGACAATAGCTGTAAACATCTGAATGCGCTGCGCTTAGTGAGCCTTTGTGTGTGGCAACTCATCTAACTCTCCCAACAACCCGGTGACGGGGGTTCTCATACTCCCCGTGTTCCCTCTTGTGTTGTTGCAGGGGTTGACCTCGATCCGTGCTCTGTACACTGTGAAGTGCGGTGCCAGTGACTCCCTCCTCACCCATCTACCAGCACAGCCACCTCCCACTGGACTGGAGAAAGGGATTTCCTCTTCACAAGAATGCTGCCCCTGGCGACAACTCGGGAGGAGCCAGAAATACACGTGAGCCCCAGCTTCCATGGAAATTCCCGCTTTGTCCTCACCTGTGCAGATGTCAGACACCAGTTCCCGCTCCTCCCGTGGGCCCGAGCCCATCTCCTGCTCCGGGTGGCCGCCTCTCTGGTCTGCGTCCTGCGCGTTGGAACCCATTTCTCTCTCGTCTGCGTCCCCTTCCCTGTCCTCGGAGTTCTCAAAATCAGAGCCCATTCCTGTATCTTCTGAGTCCGGGCCTTCACACACACCGTGTTTGTCTTCTTGTTCCATCCAGGAGGAGCCGGACAGGGGAGGTGACCGAGAATCCCTGCTCCAGACAAAACACACAGATAAAGGTCATGTCAGCCTGGCCCTGTTCCCTCAGCCTGTCCAGTGACACAGTCCAACAAAACGTACAGAGTTCCAAGCCTCGACGGCAAATCTCCGCTCCACCTCACGTTTGAAGGTAAACAGATCCGGGCGCAAAGGAGGCTGGTCTGGGTGCCAGGGTTACAGTGGCAACTCCTCCGCAGGCCATAGGCCAACTCTTGCTGGACCACAACTTGATCTGTTTCCGTCTGTGAAGTGGATGGGCCTGTTAGCATGGCCTTGTAGCTCTCACCGTGGGTAAGGGTGACAATGGTGCTCCCATCTTATAGCTGAGAAAACGATGCTCAAAAAGACCCACCAGTCTAAGGCTAACATGTAAGCCGTAAAGTGGGGTTCAAATCACTTTTGCTGCCTCAAGTTCCATGCATTCCTTACTCTTATTAAAGCTTGCCCTCCTCTAAATATATACAATTTGTACTTATCACCTGTACCTCAATATGGCTTGGGGGGGGGGGGAGGATGGGGACTTGCCCTCTGCAGCCCACAGCAATCTTGTGAGGGTTTTAGCTAATGATGAGTGGGCCTCCAAGGAGCCAGAGGAAAAGGACATTCAAGACATAAGAATAGCCCTAGCCAGTTTGGCTCAGTGGATAGAGCTACGGCCTACAGACCGAAGGGTCCCAGGTTCCATTCTGGTCAAGGGCACCTACCTCGGTTGCAGACCGGATCCCCAGCCCTGGTCGGGGCCTGTGTGGGAGGCGACCAATTGATGTGTCTCTCTCACATCGATGTTTCTCTCTCTCTGTCCCTCCTCCTCCCTTCCACTCTCCCTAAAAATCAACGGGAAAATATCCTCTAGTGAGGATTCACCAAAAAAAGAAGAAGAAGAACAGAAGCATTGGTATACTCACTTCTGACCAAAGACCATGTCTCCAGCAGCAGCACCAACCTGATTTTGTGGGTCTGGGGGAGGGGAGGGCAGGGGGAGAGATGCAGGGACCCTCCATGTTAGAAGCCCTCCCTGTAGCCTTATTACATAGTTTGCCTTATTATATGTGTACTTTATTGTAGACAGCCCCTAGCAGAGCGTGCCCCGGTGTAACTGGCAACCCCTCCACAGAACAGGCCAACATGGGAACTGGAGGGAGAAAATGACCTCAGCTTCCCAAACCTTTGGCGCCCGCAGGTTTGCATTTCAAATTTAAAGGGCCCCCTGCCAAGACTGAGCCATGGAGCCAAAAATAATTCGCTTCTGCCATCCATCACTCCTCCAGCTTAGCTCATGGCAGCAAAGCAGTTTGTAGGTCAAGGATCCTGGACCTAGACTTTTTAAAAAATATATTTTTCTTGATTTCAGAGAGGAAGGGAGAGATAGAAACATCAATGAGAGAGAATCATTGATCAGCTGCCTCCTGCATGGCCCCTCTAGGGATCGAGCCCACAACCCAGGCATGTGCCCTTGACCAGAATCAAACCAGGGACCCTTCAGTCCACAGGCCGAGGCTCTATCCCAGCGGTTCTCAACCTGTGGGTCGCAACTCCTTTGGGGGTCGAACAACTCTTTCACAGGGGTCACAGGTCATCAGAAAACACATATATAATATCAGATATTTACATTACGATTCATAACAGTAGCAAAATTACAGTTATGAAGTGGCAACGAAAATAATTTTATGGTTGGGGGTCACCACAGCATGAGGAACTGTATTAAAGGGTCGCAGCATTAGGAGGGTTGAGAAACGCTGTTCTATCCACTGAGCCAAACCAGCTAGGGCCTGGATCTAGACTTTTAAACTCTCTCTACCTCTCTATCCACTGAGCCAAACCAGCTAGGGCCTGGACCTAGACTTTTAAACTGTCCAGCTCTCTCTGCCTTGGCAGCCCCCAAAACAGAACTCCCCAGAACATGGCTAAGCAGGCGCCCCATCTTTTCTTCCCTCCACTGAGCACTTCCCCGAGGCAGCCCTGGGACTGCCGAGACTCAAAGTGGGAAGCAGGAGCCATTCGGGCTGGTCCAGCCTCACTCCAGAGCCCAGGGCAAGTCAAGGAACCTCTCATGGTTCCAGTGTCTTCCTCAGCGCCAGGGGGATAATGCTCCTTAACCTTTCTCACAGGCAGGGCGTCAGAAGGAAACATTACAAAGCACCTTGGAAAATACTGTGGAGAGGAGCTGGTGCTCCGCGTTTTACAACTGCGGAATGAACGTGTGATTTCTCTCTTGCAATACACACATTACGGCTCTTTTTTAAGTCCTGCTGCCATTCCATCACACCTCAAGGACACACCGGCCGACTTATCGCCCTGAAGAGGGTGTTACTAGTCTATCCTTTCTCACAGATGCCCTATTCCCTACATCAGAGTGGAAAAGCAAGGCCTTCTCTTAAATGTCACAGGCAAATGGCCTGCCGGGATGGTCGTCAGCAGCGCCCTGGAAGGCAGCCAGCTCCTCCGCCTCCTCGGAGGCCCACTCGCTCCGTTTAAAACGCCAGGGTTCAAACACCCAGGATTAGGATGCCGAAAATCCCATTAAAGTCATAAACCTTTTAAGAGGTCTGTCCCACCAAGGGCTCTTACCGCTGAACCTCTGCTACCCATCACGCTCATGCCTCCTGGAGCAATCAATACGCAGCCACAGCCGTTAAGCATGCATACACAACACACCCCATGGTGAGGGGTGGATTTCAAACATGTTTTAAGACCTGTTGGCTTGTTAGTGGCTAAAAGTAGTGGAGGGGTGGGGGGAAATTTTAGGGAGACCTCGTCAATGGTTTCTGCCCATCTAAGACCAGCAAGCCGAGTGTACATCAGTAAAGGAATCAAATAAGCGTGTCACCTGTGTTCATGCAACTGAAATGGCAGGATGTGGTGCCCAGAATGGCAGTGGCCGCAGCTCTGTGGGGCCCAGGGGTCCACCCTGGGAACCAGGGAAGCTTACGGTTTCACTTCGAAGCCTGTTGGAGGACAGAGCACCGTCTTAGAAAGCACCTCGGATACAGCAAAATCAGAACAAGACGTTTTGGGTTTTTTTTTAATCCTCACCCAAGGACATGTGTTTTCTTAATTGATTTGAGAGAGAAAAAATCACATCCATGTGAGAGAAAAATGCCAATTGGTTGCCTCCTGTACACACCCCAACCAGGGGTCGAACCCGCAACCTAGGTATGTGCCCTGACTGGGAATCGAACCCGCAACCTTTTTTGGTATGGGACAACGCTCCAGCCAACTGAGCCACCCAGCCAGGGCAGAACAAGAGGAGTTTCTGGTTTATGATTCTTTGGGAACCAAGAGAGAATTCATACCAGAGACACTAAATAAAGAAGCATGGTTTTCCTGAATTTAAAGAGGAAGTGGGGGGAGAGGAAGAGTGTATCCCCCGACTTAGGGCTGGCATGTTAATTCTGCCTCACTCAGAATCCAGGAGACCTGAGCTCCCAAAGGGGGCTTGTCATGGCTTCCTTCACACCCGGGAGGCAAGACTGGGTGCGCTTTGAAAGAGGGGGAAGCCCCTGTCACCAGAGAGACACCATTCACTGTTAAACATCGACTCCAATTTATTCTAAAATGCACTGCATTAGTGCAAAACTGGAAACCTGCGTGCCCACACGCGGACTCGGTTCCACTCACGCCGTTACGCCATCGGGTTCTAGGCAGCTATCAAGCAACAAAAAGGCTACTTGGAGATAAGGAAAGGCAGCCTCGATATATTATTAGATGAAAACTGTTTGGTTTAAAAATAGTCCCATTGTGTTTATTAGGACATGCACAGTAGCCTAGGTATTCACGTATTTACACAGATTCAGGGAGGATTCTTAAAATGCTACACACCTCTTGGTCACCCCTAGGAGCTTCGTATCATTTCCTCTTAACGACACCCCCAAAGAAGCAGGGCATTAATTTCCATTTCAGAGGTGAAGAACGCGGCACAGAAGTTAAGGGCTAGCTCAAGGTCACGCAATCTTCAGTGGCAGAGGGGCTCACAGCCCTGCCTGCGGTCCAGCTCCAGGGCCCACATTCTTCCCCAGAAGCTGGTGTGCGGTTCAGGACAACTTTTTGTAAACCCTGTCTGTTCTACACTGAAGATGTACTTTTATCAGCAAAAACACCAACTTTGCTTTTAACTTGACAAAACACATGAAAGGAAAACCTACGATTATTCTAGAAGCAACGAAAAGGAAGACAAGGACGAGTTGTGATTAGCTCTATCTGGAAGACAGTTCTCAGAAACGTTACCGAGACACTGTGTCAGTCAACAGATAGCTAAGCACATTTTGTTCCAACTCCCTTCCCATTCATTCTCAAAATAAAAGCTAGCAGCATGTTTTCTTAAGCAAGGTCAGGGTTGGATAACGAGTGGCTGTCCTCTGCTCCGCCAGCCACTTTACCTTGTGCGAGTTTCTTAGCCTTGCAGACCCTCAGATTCTGCATCCATAACCAGTATGCTGCCACCTACCATCTAAGATGGCTGGGAAAGCAGCTGGCACATAGTAGGGACACAATAACTGGAAGTTATGAAACTTAAGCCAACCTCTTTTTAAAAATATAGTTATATCTTTTTTATTTATTTCAGAGAGGAAGAGAGAGGGAGAGAGAGAGATAGAAACATCAATGATGAAAGAGAATAGATCAGCTGCCTCCTGCATGCCCCACACTGGGGATGGAGCCCGCCACCCATGCATGTGCCCTGACCGGGAATCGAACCGTGACCTGGTTCATAGGTCGACACTCTACTACTGAGCCATGCCAGCCGGGCTTAAGCCAACTTCTTGATTTAAAAAATTACACACACATCTCCAAAATTGAGGGTCACAGCTATATTCACCATGAATGGCCTTTGGCCAGTAAAAGCAGAGTTCCCTCTGGCCTGGCTGCTAAAGGCTCTATGAGTGAATGGCCCACCTTATGGAGACAAGAGCCAGGGGTTGGGGGGCCTGGCTCCTTGGGGGACTGGGGAGAAAGAAGAAAGGTCGGTGCCATACGGTTTGGAGACGTTGATAACCCGTCTGTGTACAGAGAAGATAAGTCTACAGCTGAATGGAGTGGATAGTTCAACAAGCCCTGACTTACACCATCTGTTTGAGAGCTCTTCTCCCTCCAGTAAGAAGGGGCAGAAATGTAACGGGGAAACAAAGAGCAGGTAATGGTGGGAGCAGTCAGGCAGGCAAGAGGAATGGTGCAGTGGACGAGCCCTGGGCTTTGGCCGGCTCAGAGACTGTGCTGTGCGGCTTTGAGTATTTGCCCCTCTGGGTGTTCCATGAGGAGGCTGATGTGAAGACTCAGGTACCTGCTTTGTCCTGTGACGTCAGGTCAGTTAGCCCAGGGAAGCAGCACTGTCAGCTTCCTTAGGCACTTTCGGTGGCAGCAGCTGGCTTCCGCAACCGGCATGGCAAGGGGTTCGCTCCCCAGACACCCAGCACCACCACCAAACCTTTCTCTTGGATGCCGACCAGCCACCATTACCAAGGCTGCTCAAATCCTAGTTTTTAGCATTTGCAAGATTTTCATGTCCCTTCCTCCTGCCCTGTAACCCCCCAACTCAAAAAAAAAGTTATATTGCCATGGCCAGTGATTAGGGTGTCGGCCCACGCACCAGAGGGTCAAGGGTTTGATTCCCAGTCAAGGGCACACACCTGGGTTGCAGGTTCGATCCCCGCCCTGATCAGGGCAGGTGTGGGAGGCCACCAATC